GGGTCTGGCAATAGCTGCAGCAATTTCGTTTGGCTATGTGAATGTGTATGTCACCTCGCCTCATCCGGAGAACTTGATAACGCTCTTTGAGTTCGTGCTCAAGGGATTCGATGCGCTGGAGTATCAGGAGCATGCGGACTACACCATAATACGCAGTACCAATGCGGACTTCAAAAAGGCCATCATACGCATCAACATAACGCGCAACAGCCGCCAGACCATACAGTATATAGCGCCCAGCGATACGCACCTGCTGAATGCCGCCGATCTGCTGCTGATTGATGAGGCCGCGGCCATTCCCTTGCCGCTGGTCAAGAAGATGATGGGCCCCTACCTGATATTCATGGCCAGCACCATCAATGGCTACGAGGGCACGGGCCGCTCGCTGAGCCTGAAGCTCATCGCTCAAATACAGAAGGACAACAATGCGCGGCCGCCCCTGACGCTCAACGAGTCGATCCGCTACAAGTGCGACGATGACATCGAGCGGTGGCTCATCAATCTGCTCTGCCTGGACACGAGCAACGTGCCAGTCGTCAGCTCGGGCTGTCCGCTACCAGTGCTCTGCGAGCTCTACTACATCAATCGGGATGCTCTGTTCTCGTACCACAAAGCCGCGGAGACTTTCCTCAATCGGTTGATGTCCATCTACGTGTCATCCCACTACAAGAATACGCCCAACGATCTACAGATGATGAGCGATGCGCCCGCTCATCATTTGTTCTGCATGCTTGCTCCGGTGCAACGCATGGATCAGTTGCCAGAGATTCTAGTGGTCATCCAGGTGGCCCTCGAGGGACAAATCTCGTCACAGAGCATTAGCGATTCGTTGGGTCGCGGCAAGAAGGCTGCCGGTGATTTGATACCCTGGAACGTGGCCGAGCAGTACGGAGATCGTGATTTTCCCAAGCTATCCGGCGTACGCATCGTCCGTGTTGCGACACATCCCAACTATCAGCGCATGGGCTACGGCAAGAGGGCAATCGCCCTATTGAAGGACTACTACGAAGGCTGCTTCACGAATGTGGATGACAAGCCCGAGAAGAATAATGACAAAGGTAAGTCGAGATTAACTATATTGCCAGATCTAAAGCTAATGCTCTGTTTCGCTTTCTAGCTGGCATTGAAGAGGTGGAGGAGGAGGAACTGAGCCTGCTCAAAGAGCAGATTCGTCCACGCAAACGTATTCCAACGCTACTCGAACGCCTGCACGAGCGCATGCCGGAGCGCATTGACTATATAGGCACCTCATATGGCCTGACCGCAGAGCTGCTTAAGTTCTGGAAGAACGTCGGCTTTGTGCCCGTTTACCTCAGCCAGAAGGCCAACGAGCTGACCGGTGAGCACAGCTGCATCATGCTGCACACACTGAAGCGAGCACCCAGCAGCTGGCTGCCACTGTACTTCCACGACTTTCGTCGGCGAGTGCTCAAGCTCATGGCCAAGACGTTCCGCGAGTTCGAAACCAAACTGTGCCTGGCGCTGCTCAAGAACAAGTCAGTGGATGACTCCAACACAACGATTGCTAAGCTAGACAAGCCCACTCTGGACGTCTACTTTCTGCCGCACGATCTGCAGCGCTTGGAGAGCTATGCGCGTCAGCAGTCTGAGTTCCGCCTGATCATCGATCTGCTGTCCGACATCGCCCAGCTTTATTTCCAGGGTCGCATCGAGGGACTCCAGCTGGATCTGGTGCAACAGAGCGTGCTGTTGGGCCTGGGCGTGCAAGGCAAGTCGGTGGATCAGATAGCGGCCGAGGTCAACATGCCGGGCAACCAGTTGCTGGCCAAGTTCTTCGACGCCATGAAGAAGTGCAATCAGTGCTTCCGCACGGTGCTCGAGGAGCATATCGAGGGCGGCATGCTGCAGGAGTCGGAGCTGCCGCGTGGTGAAGAGCTGCAGCCGCTCTCGCTATCCATTGACCAAGAGCTGGAAAAGACAGCGCAAAAACTGTCCAAGCAGCAGCGCAAGGAACTGAAGCGGCTGAAGGCCGAGGCGACGTTCAACGAATACCAAATCAAGGGCAGCGAGGACGACTGGTCCAAGGCGCTGGAGAGCAATGGCAAGGACGCGACTATTGGCGCCGGTAGCGGTCTAATTTCGGTGAAGAGGTAAGGTAGCTATCAAATAGAAAGAGATAGCAAGATCACGCGCTGCTCTTGCTCTCCCTTTCTCGCTTTGTATTGTGCGTGTGATAAAAAAAGTAAAATAAATGCAATTTCATTTCGATATCTTCCACAGCGGCATCAAGCGCCTTGACGCGACTGTAGAACCTCCTGATGCAAACTTGGGACCACCACAGACGAAAAAGAGCAAAAAGAATCCCAAGTTGAAAAAGGGTGTGGGCAAGTCGCTCATTTAGTGGGCACAGTTGGGGTAGATCTATATTTATAAGGTTTCTTCAATAAAAAAATAATGGAGAGTTGACGTTAACTAAATCTTGATGGTGTCACTATTGGCCTTGGCCGCGGCGGCCGCCGCCTTGCGGCGATCGCGCAGATCCTGGAAGCTAACGCCGGGTTCCTTGTGGGAGCTGCGTGGGAAACGCTTCACCTTGGAGCGCTTGCGTGTGACGGCCACCGTTGTGGGCAGCATGTTGCGCTTCTGCAGCAGCTTGAAGCGGTCGGTGAGCAGATTGCTCTCGGTCTTCACGTTGCGCAGATTGCCAGCCAGATCCTCGGGCATATTCACATCCAGGTCGGGCTCCTCGAACTTGTGCCGGCCCAAGCGTTTCGTCTCAAACTTTTTTCGCTCCGCTGCCGCTTTGCGGCGTTTCTTGATCTCTTTCAGCTCTTCGGCCTCTTCTTGCACCTCAGCGCGAATGGATTTGATTCTGGAAATAAATTCAATTTTAGCTATGTGGTTACTTTTCTCTGGTCGGTGATCCTTACCTAATTAGATCTGCGGTCTGTTTCTTGAGGGCCTTCTTGGCCTCATGCAGGCGCTGCAGCTCCTTTTGCTTAAGCTCCTTGTTGCGGGCCGCCTTGCTCTTCTTCTTGTTCTCGACGGGCGCATTGACTGTAGAATAGTTGTTGTCGGTCGACTTCGGATCAGCCTCATCCTCTGACTCCGGCTCGCCGTCCTCCTTGATGCCCTCGCTCATCTCATTGAGACGCCGCTTGTCGCGCTCCTCGGGCGTCACCTTGTTGAACATGGCGGTGGTGACGCGCTTGAGATGCTGCTCCTTCTTGATAATGGACTCCTCACGCTCAACAACTTCCGCCAGCAGCTCCTGGTGCGCCTTTAGTGAGGGATTGTAGCTCATGCCTGGATGCGGCGCCTCAAACTTTCTGTTGGCGATAAATAAAGCAATTATCATCATGAAGATTTGGTTTGTTACTTCTTTTCAACTCACTTGGCCTTCGTTGTCTTGTGGTGCAGGCTGGCATGCGTTTTGACCACCTTGCGGCCGATGTTGCCAGCAACGTGCAAGGCTAGATCGCGACTGATCCAGCCCTTCTCATCCTTAAGGCCAGGTATTTTGTCCCTAAAGTCCTCCTCCTGCCAAATATCCTTGTCGACTTTAGGCACCTTTTTGCCACTTTCTCGCACAGCCAGTTCCTTATCCAGTTTCTCGTAGTAGAGCCCGCGATCAGAATTCGCCTGTCGATGTCTGGGCTTGGTTGGATTACACACCTCTAGCTCTATGTTGCGCCCGCTCTTTTTCTGCCTCACATGGTTTCTACGGCATGGAATCATTTATAGTTGCTGTTTGTTTGTGCTAGGGCAGCTCACTTACCGCTTTACAATCGGATCCTGCACCTTGGATGTGTTTTCCAGTGCCTGATGCGACCGCATGGGCTTTAGCGCATTTAATTTCCGTTTCTGCTTGATTGTCAGCTGGCTGGGCGCAGTCTTCAGTGGCGAAGCATCCACCACGAATAGATCCTCATTCTGTTTGTCTGTGAAGGTGCTGCAATCGGGCGAGTCGGCGTTAACATAAACTCGTGGTTCGAATTGTTTACCGTTTGCTTTGGCTTACCCGATGCGCTCTTCTTGGCGCTGGTCCTCTAAAAACTGTTCGACATCCTGTATGTCTGTCTTGCGCCAAGCGGCTTTATTCTTCTTTGAAATACGCTTCCTTTTGGTAGCAGGTTCCTGCGCAGCCATGGCGCCAACAGTTCCAAATAATTTGTGCCGCAACGAAAACAATACTTCAATGCCAACACGTGCAAGCCGCTGGGCGATGCACAGCACTAGATGTGAACTGAACGTGTGCCGAGTGTTTACCAACACTAGCACTTGCAGCGAAAGTTATTAAACAGCTGTTTAGTGGGCCACACACGTTTCGATTACAAGCGACTACAGCTGCGAGTGCTATAAATCACAAAGCAAATATCGGTGTTAAAGGACTATGTCAATATATTGCACACCTGTGCATACATGTAACATATAATTATTCAAAAAAGCTAGAATGAGCTAAACTAATAAATGAAAATTCCTCAATATAACTTTTTGGATGTTATTAATTATTTTATTTTATAATCTGTCAATTTATGTTGTGAACTAATTGAAATTCTAACTCTACTTATGGATTGGAAGTATAATTAAAGATCATGAAGTCATTTGATAAGATAATGCAATGCAATGCAAATAATTATACATATAAAATAATAGATATGTATGTATGTATATACACACATATGTATATATACAAGGCCAAGGTAGAAATAGTTAGACCGGCAACACTGCTGCCACAGCTGATTGCTGGATGACCCACGCACACAGCAATGGACAGTCAGCTGCATGCAATAGAAGCATAGCAAGAGAATGCACTAATGCACACACACAACACAATTGAGTGATAGCCATTTAGCAATCAGTGCAGGTACACATACACACAACCGCTTTGTACAGTTACGTTTGCCTATCTCCGCCGCTTGGACGTGTTGATTATTTTGCTTCAAAACAAAAATTTGGCGGAAAATTTGAAGTACAGCATTCTAGTGCCCGCAACCAACTCAGATATACATACATACATATGTACATGTTTGTACATATGTATGTAACTTGACTGAAGAGTCTCATATTAAGCTCACCACGTCGGATCTTTCGCTTGGATGTAAATCGATCTTGTCGCCGACACAAATAATTTTTGTAAACTTGCACTCGCACACACACATACATATATACATACATATCTGCACTAGCTGACGTGTACCTCTCGCAGCAGTCGTTTACTTCATTTAGACGCGCCTGTTGATTACGCATTATCGAATTCCCGTGTTTACACAATAGTTTTATAAATCGCCATCAGTTTTCAAGAGCCGGCACAGTAGAAGCCCAGCAGTCGACACAATGAGCGCGCCAACGTTTGCCGACATCTCTGCCAAGTTCACTGAAGCCACATTGGACGAGATCATTCAGAATGCCGGTGGCACCAAGCACACCTCGTACAAGTTCGGCGCAGGAGGTAAGAAGGGGGACTCTTATCTGAGTCGAGTGTTCCGGCTGTGTGTCTATGGCGTCAAGGAGCCTGAGGGCGAGCAGCTGGAGGTGAATGTTATTGTCAAGGGCATGCCGGACAACATGCATAGGCGTCGCCTGTTCCGATCCACGGACTTCTTCCGCAACGAGATACATTTCTACACGAAGGTCATTCCCGCCGTGGAGGCTTTCCAGGCTTCGAGGCAGCCCAAGCCCAAGAAGCCTTTCGTCGAATACCCCAAGTGCTATGCATCCTTATGTGATGGCGTCAACGATTTCATTGCTCTCGAGGATGTGGGCTTCCGTGGCTATCGCTCGCCCGATCGGTAGGTTAACGATTCCGTCTTGCTTCCATCGTCTAAATCATCTTCTTTCAGCCAGAGCTATATCGCGCTGGAGGACGCGCTACTCACCATGCGCACCCTGGGCCGTTTTCATGGTGTGGCATTGGCCTTCAAGGCGCTGGATGCGGACAACTTTGAGAAGGCCGCCAGTGCTCTGGAGGAGACCTACTATGGCGAGCACACGCGTGAGTGGTACACGGGCTTCCTGCAGCTTGCCGAAAACGTTGCTCTCGACGCAGTTACCAAGACCTTGCCCAACACCAAGTACGAGACCTTGGCCACCAATTTCCTGCAGCCGCAGCTGTTCGATGATATGATTAATCTGGTGTCCACTCGCTCCAAGTTGAGTGTCTTCGGCCACGGCGACTGCTGGACGCCCAACTTTCTCACACGCTACGGCCAGGACGGCGCTCCACAGGAAATCATCATCATTGACTTCCAGCTGGCCCGCTGCGCCTCCCTGGCGCTAGACATCAGCTTCTTTATGTACTCCTGCACCAGCCAGCAGCTGCGCGAAGAGCACTACGATGAACTCTTGCGCGCCTACTTGGAGAGTGCGCAGGCGCTCATTACGGATCTGGGCGGCGATGCGGAAGCGGTCATCTCCTGGGAATCGTTGCAGGAGGAGCTGAAACAGTTTGGTCGCTTTGGCGTTGGCATGGGCATCGAATCACTGCCGATGTCGCTCATCGAGGACGACGAAGTGGCCGATCTGGAGGCCATAGTCGAGAACGCCGTACTCACCGACGTCTGGAACATAAAGCCCTTCGAGCAACCCGCCAAGCGGCAGCGCATCGCCGAGATTTTCAAGCATGCCGTTGACCAGGGCTACATTAAGTAAGCCAACTAGGCATTCACCCAAATGCACGTCACATCGTATATTTAAGACAATCCTTCTATGCATTATATAGACATGTGTAAATGTGTACCTGTATACCCTGTATCTGTATTTCGGCTAGCGGGTAATAGACTCGACTGCTGCGCATTATTATTCTTTAATAAATATGATCAAATACGGCAACTAGCTAAACTAAAGCTCAAGTACTAAAAATAATGTAAAATCATTAAGCTACAAAATTGCATGATAAAATAAATATATATTTTTTGAATAGAAATTATAGAAATATTTATTTAATGAGCAGAGATTTGTTAAAGAAATTTTAGTACAAAAAATAAGTGGTTCATGAAATGACTAAACCATGTTCCCGAACCAGAAAGAGCATAGCTAGAAATTGTAAATAGGCCATGATTGAATGCATAACGTACTTTAAATACTTTAAATAAATTTTAGGTTAATGACTTCGTGAAATTGATAATAAATAGTATGTTACAAGTTCCACTTACTATCATGTGCATCTCCTATGTGGGAACACATCTAAAATCTGTTCCCAGCTCCAGAAATTTCCATGTTGCCCAAAAATAGGCAGCAAATGATGCAAGTCAATGTCGATTGCACTGGATATTCAAAAGAAAAAATCAAATTTTAAATATTTCATTTTCATCATATAAATATTTATTGTTTACACTAAAGAGGTTCACGAGAAATTCTGAGCAAATTGTATAGACTAGCAACAAAAGCCAATATACGCTGAAGTAAATATCCGTTAAGACATACAAAAGTGTCTGGCCTTTAGGCTATGGCAGTGAAAGAATTTTACAAGGTGTAAATAGAGAACTTTGGCTGGCAGAGCTAAATCACCCCTAAAAATCAGCAAAGTTCACAATGTCAGATCGTCCGTGCGTTCGCTCTTCTGACCTCGCTCGGAGAGAGTGAACGCTCTGAGTCGCTCTCTTTGACGCTTTGCGCTGAGAGGCAGCGCGACAGTGTTGACAACGACAAAATAGCGGAAGCTAGTTTCAAATAAAAATCATTAAACAAATTTCATGTTTATATTTAAGATTTATTTGTTTTATATAATCAAAAAATGTATAACGAAAACATATAAAAGCTTTGAGATTTTCTTAAATTTATATATTTCTTTGTTAAGCATAGGGAAATATATGTACAAAAAAATAAATGTGTATAAAATAATTAATAATAATTAATTAATAATAATTAATAATATGATCAAACATTTTATTTGTTTTATAATATGTTTTGAATAAGTTTTCAAATATTTATAAACGTAAGATTTTTTAAAATTTATAGCTTTTGTTATTGAATATTAAAAAAAAAAGGAAAGTAAAATGAAAAGTAATGATAATATTCAAAAAGTAGAGTAACTCAAATCAATTTAATTCAGCTTCAACACGTCATATAATGCTAGCTGTAGCTAGAGAGATTTTAGCGGTCACTTCTAACGGGAAAATGCCGCCAGTTAGCCAACACTGGCGAGCGGCGTCGCCTTAACACGGCATCGCTCACGTTGCATGCCTCAGTCTCTCCACGCACGCGACGAGCTGCGGATCAACGCTGCGATCGTCGATCGCTCCAAAGTGGTTCTGAAATATTAGCACTAAACGCAACGTATTTACTATATTTTACAACTATTTCGTTTTTTTTTTTGCGTTATTTATTTATTGTTCTTCACACAAATTTTTTTTTCACGTTTGAAACATTTACAATCGCATGTGTGGAAAACGCGACGGCACTTGAAACGATGCCATTGCCATGCCTGGTTGTATACTTACCTAGATGCTTAAATATATACGATTATGTACACACAGAAGCACACACACCCACACACACACACATACACACACACATAGTTTTGCATAGAATGTGAATTAGCTACTCCGATACGTTAGATTAGTGAATCGCGAGTGATTTTATGTTCATTTTTTTTTATGTTTTTATGCACTCAAAATCATGCAAAATAAAGTGTCAACGAAATGAAAACGAAAAGTTTAACAAAGTGTGAGTGCGAATGCGACTAATTGATTGATTGATTGATTGATTGTTGATCGAAGTGTAACAGCAACAGCAGCAGCAACAGCCGCATCATCAACAACAACAACAAGAGCACATAAATATGAAAATGCAAACAGCAAATTGAAGATCCAACAATAACAACTCAACTATATATACATATATATATGTCTAAATACATATATACATAATCAAACCGCAAACGAGCGAAAAAAAATACGAAAAAAGTGAGTGATTTATTTAATACATGTATATACATACATATATCTAGATATAAGTCAGATATGTACGTATATAGTGTCATGCTCATATTTTACTATACATACATACATACACAGACAGACCGACAGACGGACAGATCCACAGATGGACCGGGGGCAGAGCGCACTCATGAGCTTTGCTACGGTTATGATTATGGTTATGCCCGGTTTCGGAAGCAGCAGCCGCCAGTTGCCGTCAACGATCATCATGATGCTGCTAGCTCTCCATCTCCCCATCCCTCTCTCTCTCTCTCTCTCTCTCTCTCTCTCCCGCTGGCTCTCTCTCCCTTGCTCTCTGAGTCTCTGCTGCGTTGCCGGTCTCGTTTCTGTATATGCGAGGGGGGCTGTGGCCGGCTCTGGCTTTAGCCTGGGGCTGAGGCTGGGCCTGCAGCCGAAATGAAATGGAATTAAATTAAATCAAATGATAAAAAATATAAATCGAGCGTAGAAACAGTGGCAGCCCTCTGTGCCAGCGGTCCAAAGCAGCGCAAAAAAAAAAAAAAGAAAGGAAAACAGAAACAAAAACAATCGGAATCAGAATCAGAATCGGAATCTGAATCTGAATGAGAAACCCCCACAGTCCGACAACTGACTAACTGACTAACTGACAAACAGGCAAACTGTTGCACTGCCATTAGGGGGCACAGTACGCATACAAATGCAAATACGTGTGCTCTCTCTCTCTCTATGTGTGTGTGTATATTCATAGACGCACTAGAGCTAATGGATATGCTCGACGTGCTATTAACGTGCACACATGCCATAAAGACCCAAAGAGCGGAAGGAAAATCCAAAGGGTAAACATCGGTAGCCGCAGCAGACCCTAGAGTCGGCTATCGACTGTCGACTGTCGACTGTCGGCTGTTGGGTGTCGGGAGTTGGCAGTCGATTCGGCAGTCGGGAGTCGGCACTTGTTGTTCCCTGCTCCTGCAACCGGTTGCCATCGGCCATAAATACATAGATAAATACATTGAACTCTTCTGCTGGCGTTGCTTACATAACGCGCGACCCTCCTTCGTTTTGAATATGTCAAAAATCTGTCAGAATATAAATAAGTCGCCCTCCAAACTGCATCTGTATCCGTATCCGTACTCATATCAGTATCTCAGTCTGTGCCTGTGTATGTGCCTGCTGCATCTGTATATGCAGCTCGATTTGTTTATATGTACATCCGTATCTGCATCTGTATTCGTAACTGGATTCGTAACAGTAATTGTAGCTATATTTGAAAGGCGTCCGTCCCCCTTGCCTCATATTGTATCTAAATATATCTGTATTTGCATTCCCAACAGAATTTCTATCTACATTAATGTCTGTCTTTTGAAGCTGTATCTGTACCTGTAAATGTATCTGTACCTGTATCTGAAACATTATCTGTATATTAATCGATATTTCTATATGTATTAGCATTTATCTGTATCTCTGCCAGTATCTCCTTATTAAATCCAAATTTTTAATAGTATCTGCATTCGAATTAAAGTCTTCATTTCGATCTGTATATACTATATATACATAGATATACTCATAGACACTCAGCCGTGTATCTGCATATGTATTTAAACTTGAATCAATACTTGTATATTCATTTGTATCTATTATGTGTATAACAGAATTCAACAATATTTATTATTTTCTTTCTTTCGCACAAATATATGTATATACATATGTTTCCATCTATTTCTGCATCGGTTAGGAACAGCATCCGCTAGAGCTATTAACATATCGCTTGCCAATCGATCGCCTGACATTTGACATTTGTTAAAACATAAACATTCATACATAATATACATATATATGTATATATTACACATATATAGATATATGTGTGTCTGCATATACATTCAAACACTCACATATACATACGTATATATAGCAACTGCTGCCCTCACAGCATTCAGATCTTTTGTTTGTTTTGGCCAGAGATCTGCGAATCATCGTTTGTTGTTGCAGCTGAAGCGCTCACAACTTGAAAATATACCCAGTAAGCAGTGAAAGGGCGTGAAATCGTTTTCAATGTTATCCATGGCAAAAGTTTTACTATTTATATATTGTTTGACTTCTGAAAGCATTTTACTTTTTACATTTCTGATTCAAATATTATTTGTAGATTTTTTAACATTCTCATTCACATACTACAGCGTAACTCATAGTCGAGTATACCCATTTATTTATCTTATTTATTTGCAACTTTTGATAAATGATTTGCAAATTGTTTTTAGTATTGTCTGCCTCGCTTCCAAATTCTAAAGCTCATTTCGAGTGGCTTGAGGAGCAAAACAAAGAAATGTTTTTGCCCGAAAACTAATTCGAAAAAAAAAAAAAAATGGACTTTGCATTCGGGGTATTCCATGTGCTGAGAAATGAAAATAAATCGCGCAACAGCTGTCAGCACAAGCTAAAAACATTTTAGACGCTTTTATAGTGTAAGGAAACAGAATTTTTTGTTGCAAAATACGTTGTTTACATTCTTAAATGAGAATATCTGTTGCTTCACTGCAAAGGAAATACGTCAATTATATTTATTGCTAATTATATGGAATGGGCTTTACTTGCAACTTTGCCATGAATTTTGTTTTAGTCTCAATTTGAAATTTGAACTAAAGTAAAATCTGATTATATTTATTCTGGGGTATTTCGAAGGGTTTCTCAATGGGATTGCATAAATCTATGGTATTATATATCTAGGTGGAGATAATAAAGATCAGAGAACCCTTTTCAAATATACTATATAATATAAATATGTATGCACTTTAAAATTGGAAGAAGAAGACGTGATCGTAAAGTCAAATTCAACTAAGATCTAATGATATTATTTTAACTTAAAGTATAATTAAAACCCAAATATGATCAACACAACTCATATTCTAGTTCATATATCTGTATTATTTAATCATAGGGTATTTAGTGTTCTATGCTCATACATACATCTCGTTTTGTTTGGTTTCTACAATTGTTTTGTATTGATTTGATAATAAAATTTCGTAATATACACACGCTCACACACTCACACACATTCAATACACCCACGCACACACTCACTCGACGAGAATCTCTAAAGATTTCCACTAAATCGTTGTTGAAACAATACTGATCAGTTAGCATTGTTGTCTCTCTGTTGTTGTTGTTGTTGTTGTTGCTGTTGTTGTTGCTCATAGCGCGTTTCATTAAATTGTTGCCTCTTTTTGCTCATGGAAACGTTTTAATGGCTTGTCGCGCGTGGAATTTACACAGCAATAAGCAGAAGAGGGGCGAGAGAGCGAGAGAGAGAGAGAGAGAGAAAAACAAAAGCCAAAGCAACAACAAGAGCAACAGCAACAATTCAAGTAATACTAATCAACAAAAACAACAATAATCATAAAAAAGTTGTGAGCATTCAGTTGACATTTTAATAATGTCTGTCTACATGCGGCTGTTGTTGTTGTTGTTGTAGTTATTGTTGCTGCAATTGTTGTTGCTGCTGCTGAAAGAATGTATAAAAATATTTGAAATTGTTGCTTAAATTACCCAAACGATTTTCAAATCAATTTCTCAATATTATTTTTGGCATTTATTTTGCGCTATTCAATTTTATTTTGAAAGCATGAGTTACCCTATGCACACATATGCATATATGTATATATTAATATACATATATATGTGTTCATAGAACATACAGTACAATGGAGAACTAAATCTTCTGATATACATATGTAATATTTTTAAGTCAATTTCAAACGAATATAAAGATTTTATTTTATTGATGTTTTTGTTACAAACTTAGGAATTTGTCCACATATTACATCAAGATGAATACATAAAATCGTTTGAAATTGCTTTAAAAATATGGCATACATATGTATATCATGAAGATTTAGTGCTCCACTGTACTATATGTTTTATGAACACAAATATATATTAATATTAAACTTCTTAAAAATTACGCTATTCATTAGCATAATTAAATTGATGGACAATGGAAAATTCATTAAAATACAATGTCATAGCTAATAAAAATGCAGCACTATTATAATATATAGGCGTATGTATTGTATGTATGGGCATATTTTGATATGATTTTATTTTGTAATTTTTATTTCTTGCATTGCATTGTTTATATATACATACATATATTTACTATTATATGCAAACTGCTTAAAGTTAATTTGGCAAATTTAGCCTTTCAATAGAACTGCTTTGTAGTATATTAAAATTGTATATTTTTCTGACAGAGTATCTTAGAGTGAGCTTGCAGCTTCGCTCTCCACACACATACATCATATACATCATATTGCAGCTATCAAATGCTTCGTTTTACTTTTTGCTTTTGGCAAACATTTCTGGCGACAGCCGCCAGCTGTTGGCCTAAAAATACAAGAATTTCGCTCGCACCAGCTAGAGCATTGGCCAGCAAAGGGTTGTTAGCCAATAATATAATTTGCATATACCCTGTAGTTGAATGTTGAGCTATGTATGTATGTATGTGTGATATTTGCACACGCCGGAACTGTCAACTTATACTGGCTTCTGGGCATTAGCTAGCTTAGCTAATTTTAGCATGAAAATCATATTTAATTCTTCTAGTTCAACAACTGGTTAAACAAGAAACATATTTAAAAACAAAATTTTACTATGTACGAAATTATAATGACAACGACTTTAAGAGCAGCAAATAATGCCAAGATTTGCAAAGAATTATAGATTTGTTATACGGAACTCAAGTTGTATTGCTCATGGATATAACACGCAAAGCTTACGATCTTATATGATCCTACTTTGATCTCAACGATTAGCTTTATTCGAGCTGTTGGACATATATAGCTTCTTAGCTTTTTCCCATAAAAGACTTAGCTAAGTTAAGCCTTATAGGCCAAGTCTCACCTACAAGCTTGACAACTTTCTTAAGAGAATCCCAACTCATATCATCTCAATGTTTGGACAAAGTATTCCATTGACTTATCGATCAGACTTTACCAATAACTCATATAAGAATGTTGTACAATTTCGATATTATCAATCAATCAACATCAATTGATGGATCAATCAATTTGTTTCTTGTTCTACCGATCGAGCTAAAAGCTCTGGCTGCACTGACTGACCCATTTTACGGCTTGCCTTTAACTGTCTCCTTCTCCTTCGCCTCCACCCTTTCCCACTCTTTGTGTCTTACGCTGTCTTCCCCCGTTCGCTCGCTCGCTCTCCTTCAGTGTTGGCGGAGCGGTTAGTTCAGTTTCAATTAGCACAGAGCTGAAAATGCAACATGATTTAAATTGTTGTCGCTGTCAGTTGTCAGACAAGAGCGATAACAACAGCGACAGGGCGCAGCACGCCTCAGTCGGTCGCACCAAAATGTATCTTATAGATACATGTCGCTGACATAATAATGTGCGACTCATATGCTCGGCTGTTGTTGTTGTATTTCTCTTTTGTTGTTGTTGTTGTTGCTGTTGTTGTTGTGGCTGCTGCCTCAATGTCTCTGCAGTTGCCTTTGGGTCTCTCAAGTTGGCATATGTTTGGTTCGACTACTTGGAAATGCTCAAGCACTGCGTATACCAATATATATGTGTCTATATAAATAAATAAATATATGCATATATATATGTATGTATATATAGAGAGAGAGATATGTAGTCTTGGTAAATCTGTTAGTGCGCTATAAATACGCTACACTTGATTTTCACGTTGCTGTTGTTGTTGTTGTTGTTGTTGCTGTTGCTGTTTTAGCTGACTGCGCTTCTCCTACTCACTCGACTCTGCCCGACTCGAGTCGTTCTCTTAACTGCCAGCAGTTGTCGCCGTGGCAGCTGCTGGTAGTTCATTTCACTTGCACGTAGCCTGATGCTGGCCAAGATCAGGAGCAGCACCGAGTGCAGCCACAATTCACAGCGGATCGAGACTGAAAGCAATGCCAGGTCAGGGACATTTGAAATATTTGCTTCAAGTTTCAAGTGGCATAGTTAAATACTGGACGCGTTTCTTTTTTAAGAATTATCTACGGAATTATCTACTGAAAAATAACTTATGATATGTGAAAATAAATTAAAAGAAATTTATATGTAAATGTATTATATCTTGAAAGCTAATTTGTAATAGACTTGAAGAGAAATTTCTATAAATATAATATAACTCAAGAATAGCTCATATATAAATTGCTAGACTTTGCTCTAAATTTGCATCAGCTCTTTAAAGTCTGGCGAGCAAAGAGTTGGGAAAAAGAAAAGAAGAACTTGAAAATAAAATAAAAAATATATATATATTATATATTGTGAATACTTCATGAAGTCAAAAATGAATTATTACTAAGTCAAAATTTATTATTATTTTATTTTTATTTTCATTTTTTTTTTTTTTTTAATTGAGCATTATTTCCCTTGAACAATTTTTAATGATCATATAAAGCTTACGCTAGAAATTCATTTTTATACAGAGATTTTTATAGCTTCTAGGGATTTTTATTTTTTTCCAAATTTTTTTTACAAGGATTTTATTATTATTATAATTTTTTTTTTTTTTATAAGCATAGACAAATAAATAAATATTTAAATTTATATATATGTAAATATATAAATATGCACATAATGTCCTCGGCAGCTAGCTAATATTATGATTGATTGTATTTATACTTTTTTTTGTGCTTTTGATATTTGTTTAGTTTAATTGTTGCGCACAGTGGGATGATTGATGGAATGACTGTCTAATTGAGCGACGGACAGATAGATTGGCACTTGGCCAATAAATAATGAAGACGGCGCAAATTGGCGCATTTGTTATGTTGGCCAGAGATCAAAGCACAGTAGCCAACAGACACAGTGCTTACCATTTGTTACGGCTATACAAATAGACAGTGAGAGATAGAGAGAGAGGGGGGGAGGTACATCAGTTGATATGGGCATGGCAACGGAACTACTAGACGCAATAAACAGAAATCAAATACAACTAATAATTATTCAATTGGAATCGAAATGCATTTTTAATAGGCGCGAGTGGAAAACAGGTGCCACTCACACACACACATACACACACACACAGCTACAGGCAGACACATAGCCATAGAGGAAATGCCAATGCCTTATGGGCCATTTCCGATTTGAATTTCATTAGAAATTAAAATTGTTGACCGGATCAGATGGGCTCGCTAAGGCAGCTAATTAGAGAGACGCTGCCCCCACTTCCAGCGGCCCTTGCATGGGCCCATAGCTAGCCCCTTGTCAGCTATCATTTCCCAGTTTTCAATTTTCTATTTCCAATTGATCGATTTCCCTTTTGCCCATCGCAGCGGATTGATTGGATTGAGTGCTGATCTCGCTGACAGTTCGTAGGTCTGCGTGGGTCTAAGCTAATACTCTATATCCATGTGTTATGCAGGCAGAGTACAGTAAACCCCTTAATGTTCTGCTCTGCTCGCCGGCCCTTCCACCCTCGCCCCCGGCTGTGCCCTTCTTTGCCTCGATGGCCATCATCATCATCATCATCATCATCATCATCCAGCTCAATTCGTCGGTTCACGTTCCCGGTGGCCATACGAGCAATGGTTGATTTTAATTAAATATATCTTCTTCCTGTTGCTGTTTCCATTATATTCGCGTACTGTTGTTGTTGTTGTTGTTTTTTCGTTCAGCTTCTACTGCTGCTGTTGCTGTTGTTGTTGTTGTTGTTTGTGCTCTATGTGACGTGTGCTTCATAGAGCTTGGCTCTTTTCCTATCCATTGTACCCCAGCAACAACAAGCTCAGCTCAGCTTTGATACCAACTCAGAGTTGACGCGGCTTTCATATAAAATTTCATAATCAATTGAGATTTTATTAAGATCTTATTAGCTTGAGCAACTTCTAAGCAGTTTCTTACCCTGTCAATTCATCGAATTTCGATCACTTTGCTCTCTTCGATTCGCTCTTCGATTTCAGACCTATTTTCGCCTAGTTCCTGGTTTCCCTTGGCCTTAGAGTGTAACCAATTGCTGCAGCGGAAGTGAAGCCCAGTGGCTGAGTGGATGTGGAACCACTGTTGTCATCGCTGCAATGCCAACCCCAACCCCAACCCCATATAACTCCCCTCTCGCACCACCCCCTGCGCTCTCGCTGCGCTGATGCACTTACTCCATTGAGTGACAGCCGCTGCATAAATAATAATTGTATGCCATTTATAATAGTTTCGTTGTCGACGTTGTCGTTGTCGTTGTCGCTGATGCAAAGGAATCGGGAGACTGCAGCCAAGAGCCGGACGCCGGACGCCGGTCGCCGAGTGCCGAACGCCGAACACTGAACGCCGGACGGTGGCTGAGCAATGAACCAAAGCGGAGCCGATGCAGCGGCGGGTGGGCCGGGGCCGCTGGTTGGGGGCTTGGCGAAACGCCTAAGCACCCCGTTGACATTAAAGTTGATTGCAAACTGTACGCATTTATGATTACGATGACGGCGACGACGACGACGACGATGATAATAATGATAATGATGATGATGATGGCGTCGCATTATGGTCATTATCAACATCATTGGCTGCCGGTCGGCTTATTAGTTTGCCATTGCGCGCGCTTTTATGGGCGATAATCCAAGCGGGCAGCTTGAAGAGCACTACCCGGAGGCGTAGGAGGAAGGAGCAGGAGGAGGAGGAGGAGGAGGTAGTAGAGTAGTTGTCCCGCTGTGTTGCCATTTTCCATTAGTCTGCCAGCCGATGTCAATGTGAGTGGAAAAACTAAACAATATTTCGCTGAGATTTCCCCGCACAGCGCTGAGGCAATGAGTGTGAGAAAAGCCTGGGAAAACTTAAAAGAATCTATAAATGCTGCCAGCAACAGATGTCGTTTCATGTGCTCTAGCTTCAATCAAGGCTAAATTCTTAAAATAAAACAGTCTTTATCGCTAATCGACATAAATTTATAAACCCAAATTAGTTCGACAGTTCGAATGGGCAGAGCAAGGCAGAGCCAGGCAGAGATAACGCTCAAAATATTCTCTATGAATGCACTCAGATTTGTTGGCTGCGGAGCGGATAGAGCAGCGAAATGGTTTTGCAGCTTGGGCTTGGCTTGGCTTGGCTTGTGGTATAGAAATGAGCAAATGGCATACAGATCTTTCTGAATTATGGAATATGTCTGCATTGTGACAGAGCCCCTTCGTTCCACCTACCTTTTGGCTATATGTTTACTAGTTTATTTGAGCAGATCTCACAAAGTATGTATGTATATATGTATATTTGATAAGTATGACGAGGTCCGTCCGTCCATTCGGTTTTCTGTTCTTCGGTCTATCCGACTGTTCCACTGCTCTTTCGCCCGTGCGACCTTTCCACTGTTCTCCCATCCGTTCCTATGTCTGTCTGTCCGCCTGCCCTTCTGAACGTCTGACTACACGAGCATTCAACTGTCCTTGCACTCCTCTGTCCGTCTGTTTCTTTGCCATTCCGGAGATTGATCCAGTTTTTGAGTATATCTATGTCGAGCACACCCCCATCTAGAGCTTTCATGCTTATTCTTATTCCTTTTTTTGCTTTCCATGAAATTTTACATATGAAATTTTCAGGGAGAACGATTACAACTTTAACAAATCTGATAGCAATTTTCAGTCGAGTCTTAATCCGATTTATAAAGAGATTTGATTTCGCTGTCTATCTAACTCTCTCCTCTAGCAGTTATTATAGATAAATATTAAACAACAACAAAATAACCATATAATATATTTCTTATATTTTGTAGAGATGCATCCGTTAATACAACGCGACAGCGCAGCTAGCAGAGCAGCAGCGGCAGCAGCAAGAGCAGCGGCGGCAATCGGAACAGCAGCAACAGCAACAGCAACGAAATTAACAACAACGAGTAGCAGTAAATGTAACAACAATAACAACAACAACAGCTTAACACTAACTATAATGCGCCCAGCAACAAAAACAAACTCCAAATTTCACAAACGCCGACGAAAGCGACAGCGGAGTGAAGAGTGCAGCAACAACAGCAACAGCAGCAACAACAGCAACAGCATTACAGCAACAGCAACAACAACAATCCGTAGAAGATGTAGCATCCCATATCTAAGCAGAACTGGCGCCTATCTGACGCTTCTACTGCTCACTACAACATGTTCCTTGTGCGCTGTTACCGCCGCATCAACAGCTTCCACCTCCGCCTCCACAGCCTCCGCGTCTAGTGCTGCCACCGGCGCTGCCGCTGCCGCTGCCGCACCCGCCTCTGCGACGAGCAGCAGCAGCAGCATTGGCGGCTTCGTGCCGCCCAGTTCGCCTTGCGCGCCGCAGCATTGGTGGGATCAGGTGCAGGACAAGTGCATGCCCTGCACCGTCTGCCAGGGCGAGATGATACCGCTGCGCCCCTGCCAGCTGCACATCGACACCGTTTGCCGCTCCATCTACGAGCTGAAGATCGACTGGGTGGTGCTGGCCAAGACGGAGCCCAACTGGAAGGAGGTAAGCTCATGTTCGTACAGCTCCCCCGTACAGCTCGCACTCAACGCCCTTGCCCTTGCCCTTTGCAGCGCCGAAAGTCATCGGAATATGAGCACTTCGATCAGCCGACGCCGCTGCAGCACTTGACCCACGAGCAGCTGCAGCAGCTGCACGAGGAGGCGGCCGCTGCACTGCCCCTCGACTGGCAGACGGGCGCCCTCTTCATAGCGGTGCTCGCCTGCCTGCTCTTCTTCTCGGTCGCCGCCTGCATACTCATCCATCACATGCGCCAATGGCGCCGCATGGAGCGCCGACTGGACCAAGGTGAGTTCAACCAGAGCCGGAGTGAGTCGATGATAGTATGTGTAATCGAAACCACTTATTAATGAGGCTGCTATCGATTATATATCGATAATAGAGCATATTATGTATAAGGTTTTTCAGAGACCAAAAGAGAAAACTTTTAGAGCCCATTCATTTAGTTCTACAAGCACAGCAATAGAATTTCTTTACTTTCCAAATGGCTCAAGCATTAATGTTGAGGAACTCATATCATATCATATAATTTCTTGAACTTAAACGTCATCGAAATCTGTATTAGTGGAGCGTTAGCGGCTTGGTCTTTCCACTCAACTTTCACACGGCTTGGGCCGCATGGCCCATGTCAACGGGCTGGCGGGTGAATTGAAATGCGCAACACGTTAGACGTTGCATTGCCAAAGGTTGCAGCGTGCTCGGAGAGTGCTCCGGCTGCTTAGCATGCCCGGCGTGCGACGGCGTGCTATTTGATTTCAACGAGAAAGCTGAGAGAAACAACCTGCAGCTGCAGTTGTGCGGCGGGCCCTAAACGTGGGCACCACAGCCGAGCGACTCGTACATATTTATAAGTTTTGAAAAAGACACGACACTTTGATGTATGGGCGCTCCGACAATCGCCAGCGGCATCTCCTTCAAGACACTGGCCATGGCCTGACGTCCTATGGCCAAAGACGAGCGTCCCTTTGCACAGATTTCCAGCGAATTGCTGCACGAGCTACTGCGAGATTTCTTTGCCTGGCTAAGGCTAAGGCTAAGGCTAAGACTGTGGGCATGCCTAAGGTGCAGGGTGCTGCGGGGTGGCCGTCTCTCTCTCTCTCTCTCAGGAGCTGGCCATTCGGCGCATATTAATGAACAGCTCGGCTTGGACCGAGCTGCGCCTGCGCCAAAGTAGAACGAAACGTCCAAATATTTGGCGCATGTGCGTCCGTGACGTCGACTGAGACGCGTTTCGCATACATTCGCTTACTGTTGCTGTTGTTGTTGTCAATAAACTTATTAATATTTTTCGCCAGCTTTGAATTCCTTGCATTTGCTTCTTTTTCTTTATTTTTTTTTTTTTTTGTAATTTAATTTATTTATGCTTGGCACTCGTGTTTAACCTGACCGCAACATGAGCTCCAAAAAAAGAGAAACAAATATGAAAAGTGCCACAAACCGCAGCCGAACATGAAGGGTAACAAATTTCAGATGGCTTGATAGATATATGAGTGTGAAGGTGACAGGCGGTGCATGAGCAGATGCAATCATGTATATATATACATATATATGAATTGTATATATTGAAATAAAAGACATGGATATTGAAAGAGTCAGACTCATATACTTAGCTAACGTATGCTTAAAGATAACCTAGAGCAATCCAACGGAAAGTCTATATATATTCTATGATACAGCTAGTCATATATAGACTGTGTATGATCTACATTTGTATTATATTGTATATGTATGTCGTACAGCTTTCAGATTTTCAATGCCTCGCGATAAGTCCGCCTCTTCTACAGACAACTTCGACTGTACTCGCATGCGTTGATAATTGCTTGTTCGCTTATTTTGTTGCTTTTGGCTCAGGCAATGATCTCTGTCCTTGACAATGGTGTTTGCCTTTGGCCAATTGGCTATAGTTCCCTACAGGGCATAAATTATGTATGTACTCGCATATGCCATGTCGACCCTCTCATATGTCACAATAAAGCAGAGACGCAACTTAAATGAGGCATGCAGTACACTGAGAGAGCGAGAGAGAGAGAGAGGGCAACTTTAACTTCGCGGAGTCTCCAAGTTGTTCAGCCTTTTCCACTGATTTGATTCGAGTTGCTCAGCGAACTCACTTTAAAGTTTTATGAGCCAAGTGTTTGGCATTTCAACTTTTATTGCTTTTCTAAGTGGCAACGAAATTGAGCATGGAGAGCCTTTGGTATTTTATTTGAAATATATGACAACTGAACAGAACAATGAGCACATAACATACACACATAACAATGAGTAAAAATGTATAAAATATGTAAAAAAGTGAATATATAAAAATATGTAAAAAAAAAAATTAAAAAAAAAAAAAAATAATAATAAGAAATAGTAGGAAGAGCACAGAATAGAATATAGGATAGAATTAAGAAATCACTACACAACATT